TTGAGGAACACGCCTGTTCACGGAGGTAGGCCAGGAACAGATGAATACATGCATCCGACGATTTCAGCCAACCGTAATAGGTCTTGATGAAATTTTGGTGATCGTTTTCGTCATCATCGTGCCCATTGTCGCGTTTCTTCGCGCGTTTAACGTCTTGCTTTTCGGCAGCAAACGCATGTTCACCGCTACCATTCTTACCATCACAGTAATCGATTATGTAGAAACACAGCGATTTTATGAGGCGATGAACAGACATTTTATTGATCTGAGACTGAAGTAAGATCTGAGAGAAAAGATTGAAAAGATCGAGAAGGATATCTTGTGATTGACGAGAGAGTGTCTTAAGGAATCTGGTAAAGATTTCTTTTTGGGTGTCATATTTCGATTCTGTGTCAGAAAAGGGTGGTTAATTTTAATCACGAATGCGGAAATAAGATCAGAGTTCAGGCAAGCAAATAGATTACCTTGTTCAATCCTAACGAATTCTTCATAATTTCCCACAGTTATCAATCGTTCGGTGCAATTCCTCAAGGTCCATCTCACCAAGGCCGCAATGTTACGAATGTCCTGACATTTCAATTCATCATCAAACTCGACTTTATTGTCCTGCAGTAGACAATTGATTAGGTATTTAACCTCAGAAATGCCACCGTCGCTTGTTTTCAGAGGGTGGAAGATGTCTGGTTCGGTTAAGCCTATATGAGATAATGAATTTTTTTTTTAATAAAAATCACGAGTTTTTTTTCCCGAAAATCTTTTAAGGGCTTGAGTGTAACATAAAAAAAAACAAAACCAACCTCTTGACACTATCTCATCAACACACGAATGTATAATAAAATACGCTTCGCCTAAAGAGATCATTCGGTCAATGCTTTGGTTCTTTCGTTTCCTATCGCTCCATCTCTTCCTAAGGCCTCTACTCTTACTACTCTTACTACTCTTTCTTCCAATGTTATTGCTTCCATCACCACGCTCACCATTATTGCTGTTGGTCATTTTACCGATCGACAGTTTTTTTTTTATAGTATTTCTTATGTCTGCGCCATTGTCAGATTCTTGATCGACAATGGAGGTTTTCTTTCCTGAAGAATCAATATTTATGTTTTGATTAAAACTCGTTGTTTCCTGAAACATTTTTTTCTTTCCTCTCACAAGATAAAATCTTTCTTAGTTCAAGAGTCTCCTGTTCTCCTTTTCTTAAACTTTAAACCCCCAAACAAGAAATATATATACAGTAAGTTTCAATGAATCTAGTGTATGTCAACGATCTAAGTCAAAAAAATTAGGCGCATGCACAATCAATATGCATGTTCGACTTTACTCAGATCACTGAAATATCATTTATAAACAAATAGTCCAAGTATCTAAATTTACTCGAAAAAAAGGGGAGGATTTCCTCAATTCTATAGTGTACTTGAGTCAGAGAAGGGTCACGGAGAATATTGGGGAATAGCGAAAAGAGAGAGGAATCGAATGAAGAAAACAACTTGCGAAAGGGAACACAATTCTGAAATCCATTTTCTTTTATAACATTGGTGATGCAGCGTCGATGCATGATTTGTGATGCAATGTCGATGCTTTCTTTTGCTTTGTACACACGTATTGATTAATATAATCAGGGTCATTGATGTATACACAGGAAATATGCGAGATGCCGATTAACCCGAAATTTTAGGAAATAAGCGATTGCTTAATTGTACATATTCTAAATTCGAATCGTTGTCTACTGTATATGCAGGGCAATATCAGTAGCGGATAGGTTACCCGAGAATCTATTATTAACGGTTTTTCTGGTTAAAAACAATATCACCAGTTTTGCTTCTGCTTATTGGCGAGTGAAAACCGTTACGAATGTCATATACAGTATGTATGGATATTTATTTGTTAACATCATCGTGTACCGACGCAAACAATGTGTACCGTATTACATAGCAAAAATTACTGTACGTAATGTGGTCACGTATCTCACATAAAATAACGGATGGTCAATCATTGGTTCATCCAAAAATCATTTGGCAGTGGGTTGGTTCGCGTTATGCAAGATGTACGGCATTGTACAGCAACGGTCGGTGGTATCTCTATATAGATTGCGTAACACACGTACGTTGTCCTTTTCTTTTTCTACTCTTAGGTCAGACTTTATTAGGCGTTGAGGACTTTCTTAATAAATATTCCGATTGATTGAACTTATGTGCTGACATCAGATTTATGCTTGATATGACTAATCCCGAGCCAAGGCTTAACCTCGGCTTTAAGTTGAACGATGTTAATTAAATTCAATGCTGAGAAAAAAAATGGAAGTTCATTTTAGTTTCATTCAAAAGATATTGTTTTGATTCGTGGCTAAAATCACTTGATTAACAATAAAGGTACACAAATCGAATTTCCCGGAATGCCTATCAGCGAAATTTATTATTGAGCAACAGTTATTGTCGTGAATTTAGCAACAGGGTGATTACAACATATTACGGCTATTAATACGAATTGAAATTTTCGTGCAACTTTCGGTACGTCTCTCTAATAAGCCATATATGTATAATGGTCTTCAATATGAATACGCATTTTCTTCTTTTTTTTTTTTTTTGACATTTTAATGTTTATTCATGCATTACGATGACAAACGGAGAATATCGCAAGTAAAATTAAGTGCAGTTGTTTTCATGATGGCGAGATAAAGTGCCCACTCGCTCTCCTCCCTACCCATTTTGATGTCTAATATTCCACAACTAAACGTATAGTTAAAATTTACTTACAGTCGTAAGCCTAAAAAAGCGTGCACAATAAAGATAATTAATAATTCGTTGAAAATTTACGCCATTGTAATCCGCAAAAATAAACGAGGGGCTCATGAT